CTGGATAGTTTTACTGATTTTTTTCAATTTCGAGTCTTTCTCTAGATGTCTAATGATAGAATGAACAGGAGGATAGACAATACTTTTGGGTCTTTACTTCATAGTAGTATATGTAGTATCTCGTGTAAATTAGAAGATTACACTAGGACCCCTAGGAGGAGGTGGAGGACAGTTCAGCAAGTTAGAATGACTTTACATGTGTGATTGTGATCATCAAGAATGCTATCTTGTATAGATGCTGGTTAGCTTCCTGGCTAATATACACCAGAAAGTTTTTATTCTGATCATCAAGAATGCTATCATCTTGTAGATACTGGTTAGCTGCCTGGCTAAGATACGGCAAGAGATGTAAACCTGCCCAATCTTTGCTACATATTAATCCTTCTTTAGTCTTCAGTAGATATGGAATACATTGAGATGCACACAAGAATATGTAGTCATTTTGGGTTGTGTGAGCTTTAAGATAGCAAATGAGCAGGGCTTGGTAATGGTCTTATGAAATAGAAGATAGTCGTGACTTGTTGATTGGAAAAAATAGTTCTCTTTGGATCTTTTCTTGGGGATGATTTACAAAGTTATGCTTTGTACTTCTAAAGAAATAGCTCATTGGACTTCAACATATAAGGTCGCTTTAATGGTACTTCTATCTTTTCCGGTAAAAATAGTCTAGAGTTTGGGGATAGCATGTAAGATGCTTTGTGATGCTCTTTTGCTAAAAGTCGATCTGTTAATTCTACTATCTTTCTTGAATAGCTCAGCTGTAGTGACTGAGATGTCATCATAAAGGAATATCCTGTACATCTTTTCCAGCCAAAGCAATATAATATAACTGCTGTCTTTCATTTCGACACAATTTTATCATCTTTTTCATTATAATTGAGTTGTAATATTCTTCCAGTTTCTCCCTAGTTTTATAGCATATTGAAATATTAAAAATTAAATGCACCTTCCACTTTTAGTCCATATACTTGTATTCTTTGTAAGGTCAACCATGAGTTACTGAAAAATTACATACATGCCTCAGTCTACTTTGTGAATCGGTTTTCACATTTAAAATATCTATATGTGAAAAGAAACTAATATGTGTTATAAGATGGAATTTAAACTTGAAAGTATTACTTGGACTCTGGGCCTCAACTATTAGCCATCTGCAAAAGTTGAGGACTTTGCCCTTTTAGATGGTGGAGGCATTAGTACATGAACATGGTGATGATTTTTTCTTTCTGTACTAACAAGAGCTACTTTAACGGCCAACTTTCCCTCTAAGGTTGGTACCTCGAAAAGTGATTTGCTGAACCACACGTCTCTGAATTTGAATTGTGAAAGTCATATTTGAGTATCATAACTAGAGAAAATTCTAGCCTTTTAACATATAAAATAAATTTTAAGATTTTGCTTTTGGAGATACTTGTAAATATGGCCATTAGATTTTAAATGAGATTTAAGGCATTTAATGGATTATCTTCATTTCTTAGTGAGAAAATGGAGAGCATATAGAGCTAAAAGTGGAGTGTGTATAGCACTCGCCTCTGGAAATTGTAGCACTTTCTTTTTTGTTTGTGCACTCATTCCAGCCAACTATAAAGGGTTTTAGTTGATTCTAGTGGTTAAATTGACTAGTTCTATAGTATTTTTCAAACAATAAAGATACTCCTTCCATCCTACTTTATGTTACACCATAAGACTATGAAAGAAATTCAAAAGGTCAATTTGACTCGTACGTTGTATTAGAAGCAGTAGAAGAAAATATTGACATAGTTGTCGAAAAGTTAGTTGAGAAAATAACATATAAAAAATTAATTTGAACAGTTAAATGAACTAACATTTTTTTTTTGAGAACTATGAGAATTGTATGATATAATTTTACTTTTGTATCTCAAGTTAACCGTTCTTTCTATGTTGGATTGTTCCAATTTGTTTCCCCTTTCCTAAAATGAAAACTAATTCTAAAAATTGTTCCATTTTTTCAAAATATTAATTTGTCTGTACTTTTGAAATATAATGAAATCTGAGCTCTTACCTTAATAATTCCGACAAAAGTAGATGATAGTCCTAAATTTAGATGAAGGAATTTTAGTAGAATTGTTGAATGTATTTGGATGTCCTGAAATAGAAAGATTGCCGTATTAATTGGGATGGATAGAGTAATAGTTAAGCTCTGATGATCAAGAGCTGAGGATAACCATCTAAATTGCAATCATAAATTATCCCAAGGTCAGTTAATATTGGATAGAGGGAGTATAATGTATGTCATGACTTCCAAAATGGCAAGTCTTTTGGTGTAAAGCTTCATAAGAAATGTGAATTATACTGGGTGAAATGAACTTTAGGTGTCGTTATTTACCTCTCAGGTCATGGCATGGAAGTCATACAATCAGATTTATGCCCCCGAAGGCTAAAGAAATGTAGCTAGGACTTAGGAGTTAGTCATTCTTCTGAGGGGAGGTATAATGTTTATAAATATACCTTGTAATTAAAGGGGTGAGGTAGACATCGTGATTTACCTCTTAAGCATTGACATGAAGTCTTGTGATTTGTGGAAGCCTAAAGAGGTAGATAGGAGTTTGCCATTCTCGAAGGTGGTTCTATACCTGACAATGCGATTGCCAAAGTTTCAAGCTTGTTTTGACCTACAGCCTACAGGTATCAAGTTTCTCATATATACCTTGCAGGTGATTGCAATGCAGAAGCCCTTATTTACCTTTTAAGTAGTGACAAAAAAATCATATGATCGAATTCAGGTATGAAAGAAACCTGGATAGGTTTATAGGAGTTTATCATTCTTCAAAGAGGACAGACGCATGATAGAATCTGGCTTGAATTCCATGAATTTACTTTGAAATCCTTGAATGTGTGTGTACATATACAATCTCCACAATGTCTAATGAGCAGATTGTGTTACAATGGAAGTGATCACTCATTTGATTAAGGGGTTAGCATCAATGAATATCTAAAGAGATCCGTAGTAATTCATGCTTCTTTGAAGAGGAAGCACATGTGTAGGCTAGCATCAATTCCTAGAAGTGTCTGATTAATTATCTTCTTGAGAATTGAAACTGACTAAGTGACTATTTGAGTAGATACTCTCCTCGTTTTTCAAATCATTTTTAGCACAAGCTACACCGAGTATGCTTTAAGCTGGTGTGATTAGGGGTCATTTGGTAGCTGGTTAGGAGCTAAGTTATCCATGTACTAAATCCCGCATAAGTAATACCATGTTTGGTTTGTTATTTAGAAATCCGCATGTATAAGTTATGAAGGAATCTATATATTTTACTAAAACATGAAAAACTAAACCCTGCATAAAATAATATATTGATTTCCTCATAACTAATCAATGTATTACTAATATCTGCATACTTCTAACCAGCTACCAAAGGACCCCAAGTACATGAAAAGAAGTGTTTTATTCCTATTGCAAGATTTGCACGCTTTCTTTTGTCCTCTTTCATGTATTGACATTTAGGTTTTTTTTATCCACTACTTCATCAGACATGGAGCCAGATATTCACTTCACAATTGCTTTCCTGGGGCTTTAATCCACACTCATCCAGTTGATGAAGATCTTCCTTGCGCCTAATCCACCCCCAAATAAAATTATAAATTAAAAACAGTAGAGTTCTTTCCCAGCTCTTTTCAGTGGTTTGGGGATGGCAATGACATGCTACACAGAAAGGAGATGTGTATCTTGTTCAACGAAATAAAAAACACGAGAAGGAAATGTATCTTGTTCAATGCCTGATTTATGTTGCTAATTTTGCTGGCAGGATGTTGGTCTATGGTTGGAAGAAATAAATCTCGGTGGCTATCGTCAAATTTTCAAAGAGAATGGTGTTAATGGGGAGTACTTGGAGGGTATGTCTATGTTCACGACTGAACAGATACTAAGGTTTATAAGAAGGTGTCACATGAAATGGGGAGACTTCATAACACTGTGCAAGGAGCTCAGGAGGATAAAAGGTGCATCTAGTCCCCTACCCCTTCCATCTCTCTATCTCTTTATTAATTTTATCTGTTATCTGTCCTGTGCTTTTCCACTGTCTCAAGCATGACTTAGTTAATCAAAAAGACTTTGAGGCTGTTGCAGACTCGGAGTGCTGTTTAACAGTAACCATTGATAAACAAAACATCAGTGAATCTTCTGTTGCTTTAAAGGATGACTATAATGTTAATGTATTTTTTGCTATACTTTAGTACACTTTCATTGATTCAACTCATTTCATGTAGTGGCTTGCTTGAAGGGAGAGCAAAAAGTTCGCCAACCTTGGTGGGCACCGTCATGTCTCTCTATAGTATTTACCAAGGTGGCCAAGCGTAACAGGCAGTCTAGAGTGGTTTCGCTGAAGCTGGAACCTTGACACTGATATTGCCCTTGTGTATGTATGTTTAAGTTGTATCTTAAGAGGACAGGGAGTAGGAAAATCACTTGCCTACGTATAATTTTTCGCTTTTTCTTTTTGGTTGGTTCTTCTTTGGAGAACTCTCTCCCCTGTCCAAGCATTTCTTATACATAGTTTTGTAGTCTGCCTTTGTTCTAAATTAGTTGTGATAAATATATACTTAAATGAAGCAAAGAGATACACTTATGTAAATCTCAACCTGCACTATTCATATTGAAAAAAATTGCCACTCCAATACTTTGCTGCAGATTGGATGATGTTATATAAATTTGCTTATTTTGGAGTGAGACTGAATCCTAAAATCTGGTGTCCACCTTATGCCAAACAGTTCTTTTCAAAAAAAAATTGAATCATCATTTTTATAAAGAAAATTAATCTTTCTAGGTTTGATGTATAAAGAATATTAATCTTTGTATTAAAATTACTTATAATAACATTTTTTTCATTATATAATCTATGTATACGGTATAACTAATAAAATGTTTGGTTTCTAACGTTCAAATCCATCTAAGTTATGACGTAGAGTTAAATACCTAAAACCAAATGATATACTATTACTATTTCAATATAACTTATACATACAAGAATAAAAAACCCGAGTTAGGATTGACTCATATTGATTCTGTTACAATAAACTTCTGTTGTGAGCACGCAAGATTGACGAAAGGATCAAATCATATGCCTTTTGTATGTAATCTTTACTTTGCATTTTGTTTCACAACTTGTACTCGTGATCTTCTTGTCGCTTAGAACCAACTCTTTTCATTATGGGTATATAGGTTCTTCTTCTATAACTTATACGAGAATTTATGGGATGGGATAATATGTCTAGTTCTCAATAGCTAAATCATAGTACTGTCTAAGAATATGTACGTTTTCCTTGGAGGCTCAGACAATTAACTAATTACCATAATGTAAGTCTTCTTAATCACATTCAATTCTACTATGCTTATGGCGTTTTCATTTTGTAAATGTGATATTAATTACATTCATTAACAATGTATGTTACCTTACCACTAATCTATACTATTTAAATCATCCTAAACATTACAGATTATTCATCCAAGTGCTAATTAGCTCTTCTCTCAGGCTACTTCAGCTCAAAACACATACGAGAGAAAGAGTCAGGTAACTCATCTTAATTTGTTGTTAATTCTACACAATTACATTTTTCATTCTTATATTGTGCTATGGATAGTGTTTAATTTTTCTACTTCTAATGCAAAGTGCAATTTTACTAACTGATTTTTGTTGATTTTTATTTTTTTTTCCAAATATTTGTTGTATTTGCTGCTCTCTTAATAGTACGAGTACTTACTAACGAGGCTGTGGAACTTTCTGGTGCAGTGTTAGCAGCAAATACGAAGATGAGTAGCAGGTTGATTTTTTTGTTTGCCGTGTGTGTTCTCGTGCAAGCGACATATGCAAGGAAGCTTCTTCAGTTTCCATCCATGGACATCCCCGGCATTGGCGGACTTGACAAAATTATGGGAGGTATTGTAGGCGGTGGTGGTGGAGGTGGAGGCGGAGGCGGAGGAGGAGAGAATGGTGGATCTGGTGGAGGGATGGGAGGTGGCTTTGGTAATGGATCAGGTAGCGATGGAGGTGGTGGAGGCGGAGGTGGTGGTGGCGGAGGAGGAGGAGAGAATGGTGGATCTGGTGGAGGGATGGGAGGAGGCTTTGGTAATGGATCAGGTAGCGATGGAGGTGGTGGAGGCGGTGGAGGTGGTGGCGGAGGAGGCGGTGAGAATGGTGGATCTGGTTGGGGATTTGGAGGTGGCTATGGTAGAGGATCAGGCAACGAAGGAGGCGGCGGTGGTGGTGGCGGCGGCGGAGGAGGAGGAAGTGCAGATGGTGGATCTGGCTGGGGAATAGGAGGTGGCTATGGTAATGGATCAGGTAGCAATGGAGGCAGCGGAGGTGGCGGTGGTGGTGGCGGAGGAGGAGGTGAAAATGGCGGTAGTGGTTTTGGTGTCGGAGCAGGTGAAGGCCATGGAGTTATGGCGGTAATTGATCCAGTTGAAGTTTAAAATAAAGCCTCTTTATACGGCTTTGGTGATCACCAGATTTTCCTCAATTTTTTAGAAAGAAAGACAATTGTCATTAAACCATATTCTTTCATGAACCCTTTTTCACTAAATAAATGGTGTGATTCATAATTTTGTGAATTTTGAGCTTAAGAGTTGTTCTTAAAGTTATGCATTGAGTACTCTTCATTTGACAGATGTACTTACAATATAATTAAATTCAATAAATGAAATTTAGAAATTTAAAAAACACTCTATTTTTAATTACGCATATTACTCTATTTTAATTTTTTTTTTAAAAAAAAACTTCAGTCTATCAATTTTTATTATGTTTGAACCTAATTTCTTCATGTTAAGTCAACCCGCATAATCCATTCTTAATGGTTTCCTTCTATCAATTTTTTAAAATTTCAACCTTACAATCATATTCCCTCGAAATTCACTTTGATCCACCCATTTTAGTTTAAGTAAAAATTGGTGAAATTATTAACCTGCTAATTTGATGATTGAACTTATTTTAGTTGTTCAAATTTGGTCAAAATCGTTTATTTGCCTACGGACAACTATACTTCGTTAAATATAAGTGGTTTAATATAAAATAAAGATATATAAATATTTTGTATTGCTAATTAGAATAAGGTGTATATTTATGGATCATTTTTGAATTGTGCTATGAATCAACTTGGACTAGGAGAGTATAGCTGGTCAAGTTAAACATTAGTTCATCAATAAATACAATTCTTACCGTCTCGTTAAATTTTAAACGGATTCAACAAGTTATGATTTGTTGAGCTGATTATTTGTCACCTCTAATTATACCTAATAAAAAACAAAACTCCTCATATTCTCCTTTCAAAATAAAACAAAGGGTAAAATTCAAAAAAGAGAAGTGAAGAAAAAAAAACACCCTAATCGTGGTCATAATTTTGAAGAATCTGAAAGTTTTTAAAAATTTCTAATTACTTACTAGTAAAATTTTATATTTAACTTTCACCATTAGAGAAACTAGCAAGCATTAACATCCCCCTTTTAAGAAAAAGTTGGGTCAAGTCGGAGATTAGATTATGGCATATATTTGCGTTTACTAAATTTTTTTCATTGAAGACCAATAATTGTAATTATTTATTTCATCATCATAAAATTTTAAAGATCACTTGAATTTATCAATCTAAGCTATAAACTCGTTAAATACATATGTGTAGAGTGTATGCGATCCAGGACATTTAAGGGCATAACAAACTTGTTATTGTCTCAAACTTTCACGGTCTAAAAGGTCGTAGCACCCCTAAGAAGCTGGCTGAGAAATATAGTTAGCAAGATGAGGTTTCATTTGTTAACAAAATTAACCAGACTAATCACTCAACTAATAAAAAACGATCATGCACCCATAAAAAAGAGAGCTCTCAACTTGTTAATTTTTACTATGTCTAAACTTAGTAAATTTCTTTATGTTAAGTCAAATTAAGTCGTAGGATCCACTCCTAATTGCATACCACCGTCAAAGTTTCAGCCTTTCAATCATACTCCTCCCGACAATCGCCTTGATTCACTCATTTTAGCCAAGTAAAACTTGGAGGGGTGGGGGTTGGGGGAAGTCATTAGCCCGTCTATTTGATAATTGAGCCTATTTTGATCGGTCTAAATTCAGCCAAAAACATTCATTAGCCTACTAACAATTATACTTTTCTAAATATAAGTGGTATAATCTAATTATATGCCTAGTAAAATTAAAAAAAAAAAATCTCTTCATATTCTCCTTTCAAAAAAAGAATAAGGTAAAATGCAAAAAATAGAAGAAAAGAAAAAAGACCACCGGAGAAAAAAGAGCACATCAGCACCCTAACCGCTGCCATATTTTTCAAAAATCTGAAAGTCTCTTCAGATTCTGCTTTTAAGTTTCTAATCTCTTACTAAGTGAAGTCTTATATTTAGCTTTCGCCATTAAAGAAACTAGCAAGCATTAATACACCATTCTTATACTCAAACCCCTTTAAACCCTACTTCTCATTCCCTTAACCAAAATGTTCTCTCCGGGAACAAAGAGATCAAATTTCAGTGCTCGTAAGAGTGGCCGTGAAATACCTACTACTGGTTCACCGGTGACGCCGTTCACCGAGAATAGAAAGCCGCTTGATGATAATTCTCCTATACCTAATCGCCCTAATACTGGTACTCCTGCTCCATGGGCTTCCCGTCTTTCTGTTCTCGCTAGGTAAGACACACACATTCAAGTTCACTTCTTATATATTTTACATTGTGCATATGTTTAAATAAATTGAACTAATGTTGATGTTTATCTCATTAGGAAGTATGCGCTTCTAGTTTAGACTTTAGATGTACTCTGGATCGTGAAATGGTTATGTAATTATCCTGGTGGTACTATTGATTGCATTATGTAGTTCATAGTTAGCTGAATGCTTTTGCTTGTTTTCATTTTTTACTTGGTTATTGTGTTTGTTTTTAGATAATTCAATTCTGCTCAGTTTTTCAATTTGACATGTTTATCTCACTAAATTAAAAGATTACAGTGTTTCAAATATTGCCTATTTATTTGTATTGAGCTTTCTTACTAGGAAACAAATATGTGGTTGGACCTGCATATTTATTGTGAGGGTGGTTGTGGTTAGTTAATTGCTAATGAAAGGATATAAGTTGTAGAAGTATATTTGAATGGAAACTGATTAAGATAGTGTTTGTTGTTAATTGTCATAGAATCCCGCCTGCGAAGAAGAGTGATAAAGGAGAAGAGACTGATCCAATTCAACCTGTCTATGTCGGAGAGTTCCCACAAGTCCTACGCGATGAACAGGACGTTTTGCTTCAGAAATATGCTCCTGGTTAGTGAATGAGCTGATAACCTATCTTGTTTGCTTTCACTTGTTGATCAGTATTGCTTTCAGAAAATAGTTTTTCTTAGTTGTGTCCCATTATTCAATAATTAAGATAGAGTAATAAATTCCAATATTCCCCAGTGCTTTGAATGCGTGCTACCATGAAGTGTTATTCTTGAGTGATTGATTTTGAGATGACACTTTTGCTTTTGTTAAGGTAATGCGTCCATCTCTGGCGGAATGGATAAGGAAACTTCCTTGGCGTGGGTTATATGTGGCAACAAACTCTTTGTTTGGAGTTACTTATCACCTGCAGCTTCTAGGAACTGCATTGTTCTTGATCTTCCTTCGACGATGTCTGAAAATGAAGATACTGGAAAATCTTCTAATGATTGGTTTGTTTGTCTCATCAATTGGGATAGGAATACCAATAAAGTTTCCCCACAGTGCAGTTCTGCTGGTATTGTTGCCTGTAATCGGAGAACTCGAAATCTCGTATACTGGCCAGATATCTACTCTGCAACTCGGAATGAACCAGTAGTAAGTTTTCCTGAGGAGTCTGAGGTGAGTTGTTCTTCTTCTGATGTGAAGGGCACCCCAACCAAGTTGCGGCAGCAGAATAAACCTGGGAGCAGTGTTACTCGTTCAAATTCTCTCAACTGTTTGATTGCTTGTGCCGTCCCTGAGGCTCATCACAATCATGCCTTTGTTGCTCTTGCTTGTAGTTCTAATGGCGAACTTTGGCAATTTGTCTGCAGCCCCAGTGGTATTCAGCGCAGAAAGATGTATGAGGACATGTTAAGTAAGAACTCTCAAGGAAATGATGGTGGGCAGTTCTTTGGAGGCAGGGGTTACCCTAGATCACTGGTTTGGCAGTCTCGTTCCCATTCTTTGGACAAGTCCAACAGGCAGTTTCTTTTATTGACAGATCATGAAATACAATGTTTTGCTATTGAACTTTCTCCCTCTTTCAATGTTTCTAAGATCTGGACTCATGAAATCGTTGGCACTGATGGTGATCTGGGTATCCAGAAGGATCTGGCAGGGCAGAAGCGTATTTGGCCTCTGGATTTGCAGATTGATAATGATGGCAAGGTTATTACTATTCTCATTGCAATTTTTTGCAAGGATCGGATCACCAGTTCAAGCTACACTGAGTATTCACTTCTAACCATGCAATATAAATCTGGAGTGAATGTCTCCTCAGAATGTGTGCAGCCACATGAAAGGATTTTAGAGAAAAAGGCTCCTATCCAAGTGATAATTCCTAAAGCTAGACTTGAGGATGAAGAGTTTTTATTCTCTATGAGATTGAAGGTTGGGGGTAAGCCAGCTGGTTCAGTGATCATACTTTCTGGTGATGGCACTGCAACTGTCTCACATTACTGGAGAAATTCTACCCGTCTTTATCAATTTGATCTTCCATATGATGCTGGAAGGGTTCTTGATGCATCAGTTTTCCCTTCCGATGATGGTGAGGATGGCGCTTGGGCTGTTCTAACTGAAAAAGCTGGAGTTTGGGCTATACCTGAGAGGGCAGTTTTACTTGGTGGAGTTGAACCACCGGAGAGAAGTTTGTCACGTAAAGGAAGCTCTAATGAGAGGTCCTCTCTGGAAGAGAGGAAAAATTTATCTTTTGCAGGTAATATTGCTCCAAGAAGGGCAACTTCAGAAGCATGGGATGCTGGAGATAAACAAAGGCCTGGTCTAACTGGAATTGCACGTCGAAATGCTCAAGATGAAGAATCTGAAGCTTTACTAAATCAACTTTTCCATGAGTTTCTTTTATCTGGGCATGCGGATGGTGCTTTCGATAAACTGAAGATGTCAGGGGCATTTGAAAGAGAGGGTGAAACAAATGTTTTTGCAAGGACAAGCAAATCAATTGTGGATACCCTTGCAAAACATTGGACAACCACCAGAGGTGCTGAGATTGTGATTTCGTCTGTCGTGTCCTCGCAACTTTTGGAGAAGCAGCAGAAGCATAAAAGATTCCTTCAATTCCTGGCTTTATCCAAGTGCCATGAAGAACTATGTTCTAGACAGAGTATGACCTCTTCACCATATTATATTTGCTTCTTCCTCTTAGGCCTCCAAGTGTGGTTGAACTAAGTGTATTTGGTAAGATGAAAGTAATTTTTGTGGAAATATATACACACTGCTACACATATTAAGATAATATCCACTCTATTATTCTTACCCATTGTTAGTCCTTGGTTAAGTTCAACAGAAAAAAATAATCATTTACAATCAAAAGATTAGTTAATGCTTCATGGCTCACAAAATACACGTTCAAAAGACTAGTCGAGAGGATTTAGAGGATAAAATCTGTATATATAGCAAAAGAAAATATTATATGTAAT